GTGTGAAGGCGATGGCTTTGATGCAAGACGGTCATGGATTGCGTGACAATCCATACCTGTCAGGATGACTAATCCTTGTTTTGTCTTGTCCCACAGTCCCCATTCGGGGAAAGAGGAGTTACCAATACGACTAACTTGACTGGTGAAGGCTTTCCTACTTCGTTGCCAAGTCGTGGACTGACCGCCCCCCCCCCCAGTCTTCTCTGTCCAACACAATGTTGGGCGAAGAGGACTCTACGAGACAAATGGTTCTCTAGAATACGAACAACGTGACCTAACCAGCGCAACCTATGGAGCGTGACTGGCTGACATATCGGAGAGTGAGCTTGCCAGAAAACCATTTAACATACCTCAGCATTACTGACGTGTTGTTCCAACCAGACTCGTGCAATGGTTTGAAGGTATCGGTGGTCAAACACGGAAGATCTAAGAAGATATCCCGCACACAGCGGTCACGTCTCTTATCAATAAAGTAGGACACATCGGACCGCGTCATTGAACACTGCGTCACTGATGTCGCTTCGGCACCACAAATGTGGGAGTTTAGCAAACGCTACTCTGAACTTCCCAATTTGGGAAGTGCTTTCCTCTTTCGCCAGTCCAGCGGTTACCTACATAAGCGAACTTATCTACCACATCGACCGGTTCATCTGTTTGATCCCACCGAGTCTCGCAGCAGCATTTTACACTTTACAGGTGCGAAGCGTATACGGAACTGTGTAGCGGAATGATTTAGGTCAGTTACAACACTTTACGTCTATAAAGGGTTTGATCCTATGAGAGCGATATTGTCGGAGAACTCATCGTCTGTGAGCAGACCCCTTGGGAAGTAAAGAACTTAGAAGGGACACCTTTCGTCGCTAGGCACTGCCAGTTCCTGATGATCAACGGAGTCAAAAGAAAAATTGAGATCGAAAAAGACGACCACTGTTGGTCATTGAAACGAGTGGCGCAGGCCCAGCACTAGTCGCAAAGCGAAGATATGGTCGACGCAACCCCTGCTAGGGAGAAACCCACCTTAATACTCGCGAACCTGACTCTTCCGATTGTGGGTTGTAGGATAATATCAGAGAGCA